ATTAAACCACAAGTATGCCTTCATTTGATTATGGGTTATACAGCACTGTTAGAGAAGATTTTCAATACGGAGCCTATTCTGATATAGTTATTTATTTTCACTAATTCAAAACAAGATCATCACCTCAATGGAATGCTGATCTTCCTTTTAGCCTGATGTGGCTTTCTCACCATCTACTGACACACTCTGCATGTGCCTCTGTAGCACTTTTATGTTTCATATTTGAACTACTGCCTCCTCTATCTTCTTAAAATCCTGATTTTAACATTAAGAACCACTTAATTATTTGACCTCCCACCCACTTTTATAAAGAGAGAACAGCACAACTCACTATTGTTGGGTGGAGGGAGGAAAACAAAAGGGGGCAGGAAGTGGAGCATGGTAGGTTTTCAAGAAATCTTTGAAATAAATCTTCACATATTGGTCTTACTATTTGGTTTGGAATCCCCAATCAGACACGGAATTTTAAAATACAAGTTTTAAAAATCAAGTTTTTGCTAAAAAGCTTTAAATCATACCTTTTATGAGACCTCTATATATGTATATACGGGTAAGTGTAAAGAAGCCTAACTAAGTGAAGGCTAAGGCTCAGAGAGAGGGGGAAAGCTATTGATGCAATGGGAGCTTTCCCTCTTCACAGATCCTCTCACAGACATGTTGCTTCACCAGGTACTCACTTTCTTCAACACCATTCCCTGGCATGAGATCCTCTCCAAAACTGGGATAATATTTCCCCAAATCCAATGCGCTCTGAAGCAGCATTAATAGCTTTGGGAATATTTGATTTAAAAGTGTGACAAACTAATAACCTACTATCATCTGCATGTACAAATAAACTTGAAAGGGACCAAGGTAACTAAATATAACTAAAGCAGTGTTATCTTAGTAGACTGCCTCTATACTAGAAGAATTCGAACTATATTCTGATAATTATAGCTGTAAAATTGAATCAGGTTAATGAATTAAGGTTTTTCTTAAGGATAAATTCTATTACTCTTTAGTTATAAAAATAACTGCAGAAAACATAGAAATGGTGTTGCAATATGGCAATCGAAATACTGGGAAAATAGATACGTGCTAAATTTAAGAAACATGTTCTATTTGTTCTCAGGTCTGAGCCTCAAACAAATTTAAAAGGTACTAATTCTGATGGACTTAAATATAGTTAAGTATCATCTGAATAGCTGGGTGCTCTGTGCTGCAGGGAGGTGTACTATGTGAACTCTGGCTCACCTGAATAAGTTTGAGTGCCAAGACTTACTTAGTGCCTAGCTCCACAACCTAAGTAAGTTAATAACTTCTCTGTTCCAGTTTCCTTATATGCAAAATAAGCAGCCCCTACTTCACAGGGTTGTTGTGAGGATTAAATAAGTCAATATCTATAAAATACTAAGAGTATCTGATGCACAGTAAGCATATGTGTTAGCTACTACTGTTGTTAGTATACATAAAATAATTAAAATACAATAAAGAAAAGCACACATATTACAAAACTTATAGAAAATTATTACTAAGTTGTTGTAGAAAATAAGGGATTCATTCAACGGGCTGAAGTTTCTGGGAAAAGCCTTGATGAAGAGTTAAGACTGCTTATTGAAAAGATTCCAATAATGGAAAAGCAGAAGGAATTCCACCATAGTGTAATAGCACAAAGACAGACATAGAGAATAGGTACAGAATAAAGGAAAAGACCGGGTTGGCTAATGAAAATATTGGTAGATAAGGCTGGCAAGGTAGATTAGGGCCAAATTACGCAAACTCTTTTATGCCTAAGTGATGAATTGGATTTGATATGGTACATAATGGGGATCATTTTAGGATCTAAATAGAGAAATGGCATGAGAAGGTAATTGATAAAGATTTCTGGCTGGAAGGATAAAAAGGGTATGAAAAGCACAGTTAAAGAATAAAGAGAGTTCTACTTTTGCCCCTAGGGATGGAGAAAAAAACTTACTCATGTGCCGATACACCTCAATGACCTTATGCATTTTTTAATACATAGTGATATTTCATAAGGATGATGAGGATCAAATGAGAATGTGTGAAAGCACTTTATACACTAAAAGTGCTTAAAAAGTGCTAACACTACTACCATCTTAGTTGCTATAAAGGATTTTTAATCTTTAAGAAGAAAAGTACTACCTTCATAAAAATGAACAATGGCAAAATGTTCAGATATCATGGAGCAATTGCCACTATTTTTATAAAAGGAAAGAGGTACTGGTTCAATATCTATAGCTAACAAAATTTAAATATGTCACAATCTAGGAGAGAGAATAAGTCAAGCAATCTTATGCTAGAAGTTAATGGGGCAATTCCTTGTTTCATTACCTGTAAACTATTTCTTAGGTATGTACTTCCTGCAATTCTTCATAATATAGGCACAAAAGGAGTTCATACAGAAGCTGGTACTTTATAGTGAAACATAACATGAAACATGTGGGCCAGTGACAGCCAAGAATGAAAAGATCAGGACTATGCAGACTATGATTAAACCACAGAAAAATGTATATGGATCCATATACCTTACCACGGTCCTAGTATCACAGCAGAATGAAGATGGCTCCACCTGGATAGAGATGAGATTCTACGTAGATGACAAGACACTTCATTAACCTTCTCAATACACCCTACAAAGATGAAACCCTGAACAGAGAACTTACTCTTTGGGATTGCTAAAAAGTAATTTTAGTCAGTCAAAACATAATACTACTCAAGCCAGAGAGGTAGTGCATTATGATGGAAACAGCCTGGGCTTTGAAACCAGGAGACGTGAATTTAAATTCTGACCCTATCCCTCTCTAGCTGAACAATCTTGAACAATTTCACTTAATAAGTATTCTTAAACCAAACTGAGCTCTCTGAACTCCAGGTTTTCCAACTGATAAAATGCATTCAAACTTATAGTGTTTGGATTACAAAATCAAAATGTGAAAGCACTTTGTAAATATTTCTTTATAAATGATAATTTACAAGAATGATAATTATCACCTTAAGGCCACAGGCCAGCAGAGGATCCTGAAAACCTCCTTACCTATAACCTGATCACTCTTACTCAGAGCCTGGAGAATATAACAACTTCGATTTTTTAGCTATACTACCTGGATTTTGTATTGTTAGGATGTAAAAACTTGAAGTACTCCCTTTTGGGAGTCAAGAGGTAAAGCAACAGATACATTACAGCAGAGAGAAGAAGAAAAAAGCAAGCCTCAAGGGAATCACAAAGACTCTCAACATTAACTATTTCAAGTCTTTGGGGGAATTCTGTGATTTATCAGTCCCAGCAGACTAAATTTTATGTGTGAAGTTGTCAGAGAATGGTAGATTAATGATAAATAAATTAAGGAAGAACCACTATTGATTTTGCCCAAACTCTGTAATCACAGGCTGTGGAATGAAGACAGAGACAGTCAAGTTCTTCAGGAAAAGGGAGAAGATCCCACAAACAGATACATCCCCTCCCTTACTGAGAGGAACTGCTGATGGAGGAAAATGGCAGCAGGCAATTATTAATCTAACAAATAAGATTTGTTAGATAGCAGAATATTATTTTCTAAGTGGCTAATAATCTCTTAGACGAACTAGGCAACAATACTAATAAGTCTAAATTCAAAGATCCCCAGTTATCAAAGAATTTACTTTTCTTTGATAGGTAGTTTAGGTGACACAAACAACTTTTTAGGTGAAAGAGGCAGTCTCCTTTTGGAGAACTATCCAGAATTTCTAATCAAAATCAATCACTGCCCAAATCAGTAGCAAACAAATTCTGATTCATCGATTCTCTCACTAATAAACTGGAGCCCTCAAAACTGACAAAGAAAGTAAAATGAAGACTTACCAACTTGTGAAGTAAATCATCTTTCTTACTGTACTGAGAAAAAACCCAGCTTTTGATGGTTTCAGCCACTTTTAACAGGATTCCTCGCTGAAGGAGATGAATGACATTGTATAGGATTATTAAACCACAACCAAACAGCAATTTTAAATTTCAAATAATTTGCTTCTAATTAATCAGAATTTTTATCAGGAAAAAGGGGAAAATAATCATCCAGGTTATATGCTTTGTCTCAGCCTCATTAGTTCCCAAATTTATCTGCACATTTGAATCCTCTGGATTCTATTTTGGTTAGAAACATATTCCTGGGTCCCCAAACCAAAGGCTTAGATTCAGTAAATTTGGAATGAGACCTGGAAATGTGATTTTTAATAAGAAGTCATCTCGACGCAGCTTATTTATCTTGGGTACACTATAAACTATGTCAAGATGATGATGGTATGTATTTCAAAATGGAAAACCATTGGGTGCTCCAAGTTCTCAAATACTAAGGACATTTCATTCTATAATACTAAGGCAGAAAGATTATTTCAATCAATTTTAGAAAAACCATGTCAGTGGAATAAAAGTTATCTGACTGAATCATCCAAAAATTCAGTATACCTTAATAGCCTATTTCCTGTGCATGCCAGTAAATGGAGTTTACATTCATTGAGTTATTATTATATCTCAGGTACTGGAAAAGAGCCATGGGAACAAAGATGAATATACATAACTGCTGTCAAGAACTTAGTATAGACGAGACAGTAGAAATAATTACAAGCCAATGTAAAGTATGAAAAAGAACAAGACAAGAAGAGGTCAACGGGAGCTAACACTGGAACTAAGCCCTAACAGATGAGTAGGAATGTAGTAACAAAGAAGGTTAGAACACGCCAGGTAAGGGAACGAGAGCCATGGAAGCACATGCCATGCAGTTGATGGCATAGTTTGGGATAGCTAACACCAGAGAGAAGAAGGAAAAAGTATAAAACTTTAAAAGGTACATTGAGATGGGTTTTTAAGGACTTTGGTCTTATACAAAAAATTTGTTTTCCAAAGAAAATAATTGGTACTTCACTCCTTGAACAGAATTTTGAAGGCAATTCTAAAACTATATCCACTAAGAAGGAACTAAATAGTACAACAATTTTCCAAAATTTAGCTGCCTTGAATTTAGAAAAACTCCATTTAAAAAAAATATAGCTCATATACTTGAAATGTGTAAGATAAAGACTAAACAAACTTTCTAGACAAGAGGTAATTTTGAAAAACATCTCTGGCTATGCTATTTACTATTCTTCAATATCTGAGGGATGGTATTTAAACCTTCATTTTATTTATTTATAAATAACAGCATTTCTACATGTAAAAATACCTCTCATAAATGAAAAGGATTGAATACCTACAAAATCCAATAGGTCAATGCCCAAGCATACACACAAGGAGGTCCCATCTCCCACCCCAAGACTATCCTTTGGCCCTTTGTCTTTTGTTGACAAATCATTTCCTATCCAAGTTTTAATCTATAAATAACCTATTAGATACAGCTTTAGGTTTCCCTTTTAAAACTCTTCCTAGGAAGGTTCATATTTAAAAGGGGCAAGAAGAAAGGGTCTTATTATAGAGGACTAGCAAAACTGGTTTTGATCCATGTGAGCTCTAACTCCTCTATCCCACCCCCCCACCCTCCGCCGTGGGTGTGAGTCAACATAACAAAACAAACAAAACAAAACATTTCTTTGGTATTTACTTTGCTATTGCAAACGGGCCCAGCTTAGTTACCTCACATTCTAAGAACAGGAGAAAACACCTCTATCACAACAGAGTAAATGACTAATTGAAACTTTAAAAGCCTCCTCTTAAAAGTATTTGAGTCTTGTAATAAAACACTGATTAAACTAGAATGCTCAAGAAATTAGGTTAGCTGGTTATATTTTTTCTATTAAATTAGAATTTTTTCTGTTAAACTAAAATGTACTGGAATATTTTCTTACTTCAGCAAATATGTCTAATAGAACAGAACATAAATGAATTCATTAGGTAATATATTTTATTGGACATAAAGGAGATACTTCTGGTATCTCAGCCTCATAATGCTGTACACATCAACTACCTATGAGATATTTACTGTATAAAAGTACATAACAACTGCAGATATAAAGGGCATCAGAAACTGAGGTAAGTATACCCACTCCAAATATCCTTGAAACTGTTTATGAAATATCAATTTGCTTTCTTATAGTTTGTGCTTTAAGAAAAAATGTTCAAAGAGAAAATAATTCCAGTTAATATAGGAGTTCTAATAGTTGGGTTCTCATTCAAGTTTTAGAATATTTTTTCTGGTCCCTCCAGATAACTTCAATATTTAAATAAATAATATATTTTAATCCTCAACCATATTCATTTCCACTCATTATACAAATTACCGATGAGATCGTCCAAAGTAGCAAGGATTCATGTTTATCTAAAGACAGTTTTGTACTACTGGTGAAATAAAAAAGTTTTACCTGTGTGGGGAGGACACAGAGGTGCTTACTAGTGTTCTTTGTTTGTCTGTCTGTTTTTGTAAGGTAAAGAACAAAAGATTAAGTCATAGAGGATGAGCATGCGTTCTTACTTTTGGCAGGGCTCTTGTAGGAGGCTTTTGTTGTTCCTCTGACACTGTGCATTTTTCTGGTTTTGGTGACAGAGAAGAACATATTTCAAAGTCTGTATGTCCCAGATCCTGTAAGTACTGATAAAGTGGAGAATTCTGAAAGAGACATATAAAATAAAGCAAATGTCAAGATCATTACTATTTCCAAGTTTTAGGGGCCAAATTCAATACCAGATTTCACTATCATGATCAGTATGCCCTAATTCTTTAAGGCTTAATCTATAAAGAATTGAATTATGTCACAATGCTATTTAACATTAAAAAAAAAAAAAATTAACAAACAATTCAACGGAGGACCTAAAAAAGAGAACTCTAAATAAAACACAGATTTTTTTTGAGTGAGTATCAACAAGGAAAAATGAATTTAGGAATATAAATAGAGTTGTTAAGCAACTTCTTTGCCCAAATTTTTGTAGTATTAGAGTAGATCGTTTTAAAATAACCAGTCCTGGCTATAGATAGCTCCTAGGAGGACCTATAGTAAAAAACAATTACTTGAAACCAAGAAGAATTAGGCAATAATTGTACTGTATTTATTATAAATTTATCATACCATGATATTCATTAATTCATTCAAGCACAAATATGTATTATTTAGTAGACAATTCATACAGTATGAACAAATTAAAAACTCTAAGATAAGCTTATATACAAGCATAGGGCAAATGAAAGACTGTGGCTAATAAAAGCATTAAACAACAGTGTTTAAAAACACAAACTCTAATGCATTAGAATACAGTGTTTAAAAACACAAAGTCTGGAGCCAGACTATAGGTACAAATTCCTACTCTGCCTCTTATTAGCTGGGTAACCTATGGTAATTTATTAATTTTTTCATGCTTCGGCTGTCTCATCTAAAAATCGGAATAATAATATCTAGTTCATAGGGTTCTTATGAAGACTAATTAAATATAAAGCACTTAGAACAGTCCCTGGCACATAGTAAATGTTCAATTTATACTTCAACTTCGTTAAAGCTATGTAAGAAGAACACAGGTTTTGGAAGAGATTAAAAAAAAAAAAATCTCCCCAACCTCACCAAACAGAGATATCGTCATCGCTATTGGATGAAAATCTATGAGACAACTCTTTCTGGATAAACAGCAAGCTTTAATTATAACTTTTAGTATTCCCTAAAGTTGGTGACATGTTTAAAAATAAACCTTGATTCCATTCAACAAAATATTTAAAAAAGACCTTATGTTGGGTGTTAGAGATGCAATAACAACCACCAATAAGAACACAGCTGACACAATACTATGTGGCAAAAGCTTAACTAAGCATTTTACATGCATCACCTAAGATTCACAACAAAATCTAAAATTATTATTATCATGATTACTACTGTTATTCCCATTTATAGTTAAGGAAACAGATTTAAACTTAACTCCAAAAACAACATGCTGAAATACCTATCATACTGTACTACCTAAAATTACAATCTCTCTATGTCTAGAGAAAAAAACACCAAAGAAGCTTACTTACAGTTTAGTACAAAAATGCCAAGCAAATTAATAATTATAGGAATGTAATGGCTGCTACAGAAACTGAGGAGCAATAGCTAAATTAGACCAACATTTTTAGGGACTATATCCTTGAGTTTGGAGAAATGAGGAAGAGTGGGAATTTGCTGGACTGGTAGCAATTTGCTGGCTATCAATTTAAGAGAACAGGAAGATGAGTCAAATGCTTTCCTTTTAAACTATGTTTCTCTTTTGAGACAAATATGCAAAAAATTATAAAATAAGGAGGACTATGTTTATCCCTGTGGTTTTAAAATCTCTGGTGGCGCAAATGGTTAATCTTTATATTACCCATAATGGATCTTCAAATATTGCCTTGAATTACTCAATCTGTATTTTCAAACTACTATGAACCCCCAGAGTGGAAAAAGAACAAGAATGCTAGTTCATTTGAGCTGACCTTTTGAAAAGCTTACTTTCTTAAAAAAATACCCAACTCGTTTTTAAGGCAGTAGAACCCTTTCTTCAAATGAACTCCTATGGGGAAGAACAATAAATATGATGGATCATCAAAGTGGGGTTATTCTAATTCAAGGGTCATCAAACTTCTTCTGTTAACAGGCCAGATAGTAAAATATTTTAGGCTTTGCAGGCCATATGGTCTCTGTCTCAGCTAATCAACTCTATCATGCAAAAGCAGCCACAGATACTACATAAACCAATGAGTGTGGTTATGTTCCAACAAAACGTTATGGATATATTGAACTTCATATAATTTTCATGCGTCACAAAATATCATTCTTTTGACAGGTTATTTTTCCCAACCATTAAAAAAATGTAAAAACTATTCCTTGTTCACCAGTTATATAAAAATAAGCATGGAACGGGGACAAATCTGGCCCAATAGTCTTAGTTCGCTGACTCCTGTTCTAATTGAAGACTCAGTGCAGATCATGAGGCATAGTCTTGACTGCTAACTAACTGTTCTCTGGGAAGAGGCTTGTGGGGTAGGAATGGGGCCAAATCGTTTTTTATTCAAATTGCACACTTTCTTACTGCACACTTAGGTGATGTTGTGTCAGCATTGACTCCAATGTCCCTTAATTTTCCACTTTATGTCACGGCTCACAAAATAACAAAATGGATATCTGTAGCAGATATCCATTTTTTAAGTGATTAAACAGAAGGGAAACGACTACTTTGTTTTCTATATATGTTCTGCATATCAACTAAGAGCATACCATACTTAGTCTGAATCACCACATCTGGAACATCTGCTATTTCATATTTCACAAAAAAGCAGCATTAATTGTCTACCTTATATACTACTGAAAATGTTCAACAGTGTCATCTGATACAGTATTTCTACCAGTAGCCTATTCTGCCGTTTTTCGCCCCCTAAATGTAGGACTTCTCATTAACTTTTGGCTGCTTTCACAAACTTCTTGTCAAAGGTGTGACATATCCACTGTGCTCCGCAACTATGAACCTTGGTAGTTCTAGTTTTTTCCCCACCTTTGGTGACAGAATTTATCACTTTCATCCTAGAAAGCATTATTTTACAATTCTGGAAAATTCTGGTTTGCCAAGACCATCACTGTGCTTTGTTTCATGCTTAATGTAACTAAGTATTTGACAAAATTTCAGAATGGACAACCTTTAGACACTAGGTATGAAGGTACTGCAGGTCCAATCAACTACAATTCCAGTCATCATTGTATTTCATATTTGCACTTTTGTCTTTGTCTGTTAGTAGAAATCATATCATTTTCTAACTTATAAACTTGGACTGTATGGACCTATGAACATTAAAGCTCTAGTCACTATGTTTATGATGGTTTTCCAAGTTGTAGCTGTTTCACTTTTACTTTTATGCTTATTTCATTTTACTCTTTTATTTCTACTCTTTTGCTTCAATCACTTTTGAGCCAAAGAAAATTTAAAATTTGACCAATGATAAGACAAATGAAAAACAAACACCCATTGGTTAACAAACTGAATGTTCAATCGAGATGAACTGACCAGGTAGGCCTTACAGCACAGGAGCAATTTGTAAGAATGCAAAAGATTAGTAAAATTATTTTATATTAATGAAAGGATATGAGTGATAAAATTACAATCACTTTTTCTCTGAAACTGCCAAATAACCTGTGTACTATTTGACAGATTTCAGAAATCACATCATGATCAGTGATTCTTAAATTTTTTTCATGTCCAGGCCTCTTTATAATCTTTTAAATTATCGAGGGTCCTAAAGAACTTTTGTTTATGTGGCTATCTAACAATATTTATCATATTAGAAATTAAACTAAAAAATTTAATTTATTAGTTTACATAAAATAATAAACCCATTATAACATTAATACAAACAACATAAATTTCAATGAAAAAAATTTTTTCCAGTATAAAAAGAAGGAATTGAGAAGAATGGATTGTTTTATATTTTTACAAATCTCTTTAATGTCTGGCTTAATAGGAGATAGTTGGATTCTTATATCTGCTTCTGTATTCGATCTGTTGCAATTTCTTGTTTTGGATTAAGTATATAAAGAAAATCAGGCCTTAAACAGACGTATAGTTGGAAGGGGATGAGTATTTTAATAGCCTTTTCTGATAATTGTATCATCAAAGAATAGCCAAAACAAAACTCGACAAAAGGTTAATTTTAATATGGAATATGAAATCATGTTGACGAGCTGTTTGTACTCTGTACACGCATGAGAGAATGAGAATGAAAAAGCAAATAATGTCTCAGTATTAAAACTTGATCATCCAACATAAAATAATTTATTTTTCTTTTTTCTTTTACAGCAATGTGAGACTCCCTATTGCAATAGCTCTAACCATTATATTTGAAAGTTTTGGGCTATTAGGCTTATAAAGTAATACAAAGAAATTTCTATGTTTCATATAGTGAGTATTATTATATTGGTTGATAGGAGCTTTAGAAAGGGACTTTTTTTGTGCAGGGTAAGGCAGAGTATGTGGTGATAGGTAATTTTCTCAGTTATAACTTTTTCCCTTAGTTCAAGCAAAACACAACCACAAATGTTTCAGTTAAGTTGTTTTCCTGAAGAGAAATTATTAGCACTGAACTCAAACTATAATTCTGTAGTACTGGAGAATGTTACTGCTGCCAAAAGAAATATGAGAAACCTCAGACACAGCATGTGGGAGCTTCTCCTCAGGAAATCCTTGTGGTTTACAATTCCTGTAAATTTTAGCTGACAGAAAACACACATCATAGCACGAGAAAGAATTTTGCTAAATGAAAGATAGCCAAGAGTCTTTGGTTGTACTAAGACTGTTCTGATGGCTGAAACATATTTTTGTAAGAAAAACAAACACAAATATACAGGAAACCCCAACATTTTTGCTGAACAAACATTTAGGAAAATGACTCATTTAAATTCTAGACTACCTGCATTTCATACCTCACTCCCATTAAAGATATCAGATCCTACATTAATGGATTATACAAAGTCTGAACCACTCAATCAATGCACTATTTATTTTCTGCGTGATTTATGGTACATTCTGTAGACGTGCCAATACCTTTATCGATGGTTTGCATTTAAGAAGGAAGATTAATTAGCATAGAAATGGAAGTATTGGGTAAAATACTTTTATTATTAGGTTCTCTCTTCTAAACTGCTTCAAATCCTTACAGATAGAACAAGTTATTACCTTTCAGGTTCTAGCCCACAGAGGGAAGAATAGGACAAGCATGGAAGAATTAGGTGATCCATTCAATAATAAATACTAACTGAACATCCTCTACGTGCCAGGCAATATCTAGGCACAGGGAGAAAACCAAACAAAAGAGGTGAGGTCCTTGCTAAAAGGTTCCATTCTACGGTACTTCTGATAAGACCATGGTATACCTAGCTTTCTAAACTACCAAGGAAAATACTGAGTGGTCTGATGATACTTTATAGGTTGCTATATTTCAGGAAAATCTTCTCTTGGTCTCAGTATCCTTAAGTACAAAATAAGAATGCTGTGGAGTTCTTAAACTTGTTCAGGTAGTAAAACAAAACTCATGATGTTCTCTGAAAGACAAGATAAATATATTGGTATGTTAAAATATAAAATTTTGTGCTAAATCAAATGCCATCTTATCCTATGCAATAAGCCAAATCCAGAATATGGAATTCTACAGATGAAATTACCCAATTTCTTCAACAAATAAATGATGTAATAAAAGTGGAGGAAGTGGAGAAAACTGTTAAAGACTAAAAGGACATATCACCCAAAAGTGATGTACAGACTTTGTATCCTTAAAAGAAGACATTTTCGAGATACTCAAGAAAATCCATACACAGCCTATTAGGTAATGTTAGGAAATTATTTTTAATTTACTAGGTAATTGTATGGAGTTATCTTCCAAAAAAAAAAAAAAGTACTTAACTGTTGGAGATGTAAACTGAAGCCTTTACAAGTGAAATTCAGCAATGTCTAGGATTTGCTTTAAAATACTCCAAGAAAAAGGTAAGGGAGAGAGAGGAATGGATGAGACAGTTTGGCAAAATATTAACAGCTGCTGAAGCTGGGTGATGGGTATATGGAGCTTTCACTATATTATTCTTTTTTATATAATTTAAACAGTCTATTATAAAAAATTTTTTCTAAAAAATCAGATGCTAGGTTTTCCTAGAATCTGGTAGAAAAGACTTAAGAAAATAATATGGCAGAAAAATGTAAAATTGAGAAAATTCAACTTATTCTTTTAATCTGAGGAAAAGATAAACTTATTAAATTTTAGAATAGAATACTCAAGTCTATAAACTTCTATATAATGGTAGTGATACTTTTAATATCTACTGGAAGAGAATATGGCAAAAAGCAAAAGTCAACTTAGTAACATCTTGAAATGAGTCTGTGAGTTAATCACCCAATCAGCTAGTGTAAGGTGCACGTGATATTTTATGAATTCATGAAAAATATTCAGATAACAGTGGGCAAACTTCCTTTGCAACAATGCCTGGGCCACAAATGTCAAAAGTAGCCTCCAGCAACAAGATTTTAAGTTACTGGTATTAGGAGGCACACAGAAATGACTAATTATAGTTACTCATATTTGCTTTCCACAAACTAATGTAAAGTTTGTGGAATAAGCAATTCTCAATTATGTGATTTTTAAAGTCATGTTTTAAAAATACCATTAAGCAAGACAGTTAAAAAGAAAATCCAAAACCCAGTATGCTCCGATAGTTCTCAAAGTAGATTTTGCTCCCATCCCCCGACACTGACATTAGTTATTTATAACTAAGGAGTGGAGGAGTGATGTTCGCATCTAGTGGGTAGAGGTCACAGATGTCAGTCATCATCTGACAATGCACAAGACAAGCCCCACGAAGAGTTATCCATCTCGAATTGTCAATAATGCTGAGGTTCAGAAACCCCATTTTAGAGTATAAGGAATCATAGGTTGAAAAATTTACAAAAAATAAGTATTTCAGCAGCTGCTTTCATTATTTACTTCTTATTTTTGGAGAATGATAGATTCATAAAGCAAAAACCGAAATTGAAGATTAGTTATTTTAGCATGATTTGCAATCTAAAAACTTAATAGGCTTTCTAAGAGTGAAATGAGTTACCTTCAAAATAACTGCATCGGAATTTATTATGCATTAGAAGTTCAATCACCAATATTATATAAAATCAAAATAATTATAGTACTTGGTTATATTTGGAGTATGTCTAAATGAACTTCATGTTCACCTACTGAACTTCAGTTTTCCAATAACACAATTTCCTTATTAAAATTTTTTTATTGGGGCCTCAACATAAAAAAAGAAATATATCTGACTAACTGGCCACATTGGTAAGTAGGAACGTAAGATATCTAAATAACTAGCCTATGCCACAAATGGCATCTTACTGAGTGGTTTCCTTTGGCTACTGACACCTCTCTGTGAATGCTACAGGCCCACAACCAAACACCTGAATCAGGCTAAGTAAGCAGCCAGCAGAACCCTAGGTGCTCTTTTCACACTAACCCTGATGCACACTCTGAACTCGCTACTCCTCTCTCCCAGAAGAGCTGCTCCCGGAGCTGTAAGTATACCCTTTCTGAAAAGCAATTTGTAGTCTGCAACCATTACTGGCCAAATTCTGATTCTGGTGCCTCACGAACTATCTACTCTGTCTTCCAGATGCCAATGACTCAGTGCTAAGAGCATTCCACTGGAAAATGCATTTGGCTAGAAAAATGGAAACTTAAATGGCAATCATTATTTGTTCATTTATCACTAAGCAAATATTTATTGAGCACCTACTATATGTCTGGCACAAGAGTTATAGTTTTTTACCATTAACTTCTCCCTGGGGATAGTCAAGAAGTTAAATTTTTTTTTCTACTTGTAAAAGGAAACTAAGTTCAACTGCTCAACTTCATGAATTTCTATTTTTTTTTTACTGGTTTGCTATTTTTAAATTAAAAATTAAATCGAAAATATGTAATTAAAAATAACTTCCTTTATTCTACCCCTGACCCTTACTCCCTTTTCCAAAATGTAAAAACATTCTTTAGTTTGCAAACCCCCCGCCCATTTAGTATCCATTTATGATTGAAAGTGGTTGGCAAGGGAAGGGCCGAGATGACTCCTAGATTTCTGGTTTGAACATTAGGCGGTGCTATTTAGTGAAATATAAAATAGTGGGGAGCAACCAATCTGAAGAGGAAGGCGATGAGTTAAAGGTGCCTGTGAGATGTTCAAATGAGAATAACTTAGATCTAAAGTACCTAGAGATCAGGAGAGCGGCCTAATTTCAGTGAATAGATTTGAGTTTTTAGCAAATAGGGCTAGCGGGAAACCCACAGTAGCATAGACATATGGACACATATGGAGTAGATAAGCTCAGCTAGAGATAAGTGTGAGAAGACAAGAGAAGTCAATGTTTTGGAAGAGTAGAGCGAAAGCTCGAAAATAATAGGAGTTAACAGTAAAAATGTTTAACATTTGTTGAGTTGCTTATAGGCTAGGCATTTAGTTAAACATGTTTTATAATACCTAATTAGCAACAAATTGTAAAGAATTATTAGTAATAATACTCCCATTTTAGAAGATTAGGGCATATGGAGATTAAATAACTTGTCCGACGTCACCCAGCAGAATGCGAAGCTAGCTAGCTGGTCTGAGTCCAAAGCCTACACCCTTAACCATAACACAGAATTGCCTCTTTGAGGAAAAAGGAAATCTAGAAGGAACAACTAAGTCTCTCTCAAGTTCATCTTGCTGTTTTAAAATATAGGCTTATTACTCAGGTGTGGTGAGGCCAACAGACAACTGCCATTGAAAAGATAATCTGTTATATACACAGATTCCAAGAGAAGGGGGCAGGGCGTGTCACAGGGGAGGGGAGGGCAGATGAGACAGCACCAGGATTGGTCAGGAGGGAAAGGGGGAAATTATAGGTAAAAACCTTTACTGTAGTTTCTGAGGGAAGGAATGGGCAAGGCAAAGTAAGCAGGTTTAAAATTGATGAGTTTCAATAATTTCAACAGGCCCTGGAGTACAGGTGCTGTCCCTAGCAGGGCCTGGTATCTGGTCTTGGGATGATTAAGGCAGGTAAATAGTGGTCAGGTGAGAGGCACACATCCAGGGAGTAAGTAGTTTACTATCTCTTGGGAATTTGCTAACACTGGGAGGGCAGTCGCTCCAGAGCCAGCAAGGCCCCAAGATGATGATCAGAATACAGAAAGTAAAAAAGATTGGTTAAAAATACTTTTATATCAGATTTTATATTCTGTAGGATCCAAAATGCTGACCCTGCATGGTACAATTTTTAATTCAATTATATTTTTTCTCTCTTCGGGTTGTCCTCATCTCAAATTATTCCTCTTTCATGGGTGACTTTAAGTTTCATAGAACTACAGTCTCTTGAATCTAGATACGCAAATCTTAATTCTTTTTCTTCTGTGAATACATTTGCAGAGTGGCAACTCCTCCAAACCTCCATAGAATTGGTGTTCCAATGATCTACAGGTTCCACGATTTTTCTGTTTACTCATCCTTAAGAGAGTGCTATATTTATTAGTCTAGGGTTAACAAAGTAGTAATTGGGAATAATTCAGGCAGAAACCAGAGGGGAATTTTCAGATTGAAAGTGCAAAGAAGAAAAATAATCAATCGGCAATATATTTATTTAGAAATCCACTTACTAAGGGTAATAGAGCCATAGCAGGCATCATTATGAATGAGATCACGCAAACAAAATAAAGCAAGAATTCCAGTGATGCAGTTTCACTGGCTATAGAGTCGATAAGCAGTGGGCATCTGGAAATGGCCCTTGACTTGCTTCCTCTGACCATTTCTTAGGTTGTAGCAGTGTTTACCTCTGGTTTAGAGATGTCAGTGGAGACTGATAATTCTGTTTGATACTATGCAGATGTACTTTTTTTTTTAATCACAAGAGGATGATCAATGTAGGTTCTCATCTGTTTGGCTGATCCCTCCTTATCAAATCCTCCCCAAATGACAGTAACGCCAATCGCTTCCTGAGTACCCACACTGTGCCAGATGCTGTTCTAAGCATTTTAACATACTAACTCACCTCATCTTTACAATAACCTTATGAGCCAGAGCTCATTTAAAGTGAGGAAGAGAGAGACCCGAGTAACTTGCCCAAGATCGTGTACGTAAATGATAGAACCAGGAACGTAGGCAGCTGGACATGAGCCAAATCTGTTACTTACACTGCAAACAACTTAAGATAAATAAGTTCATTAACTTCGTCTAATATGTATTTTGCATAATTTGTATATTTTTTTAAACCAGAAACTGGACTTGCAATTTTAAATTTAACAGATTTAGAAGTTAGAAAATTCACAACAGATCAACATATATCTTCTGATAATATCTATATTTATTCTCAATCATTTCTGTTTCTGATGAACTATAATCCATACATATTTGCCTCTCATTATGCAAGCCTAAAAACTGATTGCAAAGAATCTTGGGAGTATAAAAACAATAATCCTCTATCCTTACAAATCACTTTCAAGTCCAGCTTCCTGGGTTTTAAAAATAACTCTACGACATTGGAGAGAAGGTATGGTCAACATATGATAAAACTATTTCATTAATTTTCAATAAGCCCATATAAACTAATAAGAAAAAGATTTTAAAAACTGCAAAAATGAGCAAAGGATACAAAGAGGCAGTTCAAAAAAAAATACAGAAATGTTAAATACAAATGAAAGCATGTTAAGACTTCACCCTTGATTGAAGAAGTGCAAGTTAAAACAAAGATATAATTTTTATCTGGTAGTTGACAATGATTAAGAAGTATGATCATTTTAGTGTTGTCAAGGTTATGAGGAAACAAATACATCATATATTATTAGTAGGAGTATATCTATAAAACTATAAATGTATATATCTATTGACCTAGCAATTCTGCTAGGTATCTATTCTATGGATATAATTATAAAAGTATGCTTAAATGTACTTATGAGAATACTGGCTCCTATAATCATTTAAGAACCCCATTTACATTTAAAAGTCAAATTATACAATATTTCAATGTGTATTATACATACATATTTGCATATATGTATATGTGAATATAATTGCATTGAAAATGATCTGGAAGAAAACCGATTACGGTGGTTACTTCTGAGGAGAAAAGCAGAACTGGAGGAAGGAAAGGGGGATTAAGGGAGGACTAATGTTTCCCTGTATTTGACTTTTTTACAATGAGAATATATTCATATGTTATTCATGTGATAAAAGGTGCCCAACAAAAGGTGTCAAATTGTTAATTTAGCAAATGAATAGAATGATCCTGTGTACTTTCCTATATCAAAATTGATGATCTACTCAACTATTAAACAGTTCGTTTATTTAAAATGTCAGTACTATATCAAAGATACAATTAGATCTCGCAAAATGCTTTTTATTGTCAGATACCAGATAATATTTGATCTCTGCAAGTCTATATTAAACACAAAAGCAATAGGAAAATACAGTTAGCTAGCTACTAATGGAAGGCAGCAGGAGGCCGGAAGCATTGGCACAGAAATCTCAAATTGTGTAATATAGAAGTAGCTATGTTAATGAAGACTTCACACCTATACAAATCAGTGCTTCTTTAGAAGGCTTTGATTTCTATTCCCTTGACAATGGAATTTATCAAATTACTTACAGGTAACTTTTCTTTAAAAATCTCTATAAGTTTTTAATTTCTTCAGAAAAAAAGTACTATTATGTAAGTTATATAATTTTAAAGTTTCCACCATGCCAATAGAACCTCTAAAAGATTTTTTCTTCAAAACAAAATCTTTAATGAAAAAGATATCTGTCATTAAAGGGGTCTGGGGGAAATTTGTCTGGAAACTATTTATTAGCTACTAAAAAGATTTTTAAAATATTTTATCTTTGAAAATAGCTTAAGGTTATAGGTCTATTCTTTTTTTTTTTCATTACTTAAAAAATTTTATTTTATTTATTTATTTTTCATCCTCCTCCTACCCCCTATATTTGACCAGGGCTATAGATCTAAATGTGGTTATTGCATATAGAACAACATTTTTAAAATATATAATTGAAAAAGTTAAACTCTGGTTGTCAATTGCTATAATTTCCTTATTTCTTTCCAGTCTAACTGCAGAACACCACAAAATAAACTAATGAGGAAGGCTGTCATTATCAAATTACACAAGGTAGCTATTTTCTGTATTTTTAAAGAAGCAGCTTTGGATACATAAAGAGCTAAAACTGTCATAAGAAAACCCTACAATGGAAAATAAATTTCTCCATTACTATTATGTTGCTAATATACTGTTTCTATATACTTTGCACCTATCTTTAATTAGTATACAATTAGAAAGTATAATTTGAAAATAGCCACTTATTGTCTCCCACCCTCCCCACCTTTAACCTTGAAAAATATCACAGAATATTTTGCAAAATTAAAGATATTATAAAATAACAACACATTTTTTGGAATTTACACATTTCAACATAACTTTTCTAGGTTGCTATTCTCAAAGCCCCAAATCCAAGCATTAATTTAATTGTTACTCGATATCAGCAAAGCAAAATCTAATCATAGAATTTAAAAGACAAAGTAGACTATAAGGGTCCATAAAAATTAGTCCAACTAATTAAACTACTCACAGACAGCATAGTTCTAATTTCTCCAATTGACCTAGATGAAAAATTTACTGCCTCTTGCTCATATTCTTTTGATCTGTACACTTCTTTCTTTGATGGTTCCCACTTGTTTCTCCAGCACTACTTTACAAAATGGCCACTGAACTGGAAGGCGTGTCTTCATCATTACTAAGCATTTTCCTATCAGAAGCAGCTCTTTGAAAAAATCTGAACATAATTTCTTCAGTGCCACTCAGTATTACTTGGCAACTGCAGAAGAAGTAATCAGGAGAGTGGGGGTTTTTAAATGCCTTTAGAAGATATTACTTAATATTTGTGTTTATTTAAAAGTTTTTTTCAACCAGCAGCTGGTAAGAGACATAACCCATAAATTTTCCTGGCTGTAGGCTTCTAATATTTTCCGACAGAAATGCATCTCATCCAATGAATTTTATGCGAAATGTTATAAACAACAGAAAGTTTTTAAAAGAGTAACTTAAAATTTTTCTATACAGTACAAATATACTTAAGTACAATAAAATTAGCCCAAAACAAAATACAGCCATCAAAGGAAAGATGAAGAGATGCAATGAGAGAAAACTGACTTACGCAACTTACACACTCAAATGATTAAAAATAAAGAGCAACAGTGACTTGGTGTTAACTAAGGGAAGAGAAGACAGCAATGGTGGACTGAGCTCTCCCTACCCTTAATATTACTCAATACCTGGTTAATCAACTAGCATATATTGGGCACCTACTGAATGCAGAGCAGAAGGGAGGAATTAAAACTATCATTTTAAACTGCTTTAGGAAAAAAAAAATAGAGGTATGTCAGACACACTGGCAAAATGTGGGGTGTTGAAGAACAAGCAATAAACATTAGAATGAGGTTTGGATACTACTAGATCACATTCAATCTCATTTTCTTTCTTCCTTATCCCAAATAAAAAATAATAATACTAATAAAAATGGAGACAGAATTTGTGGTTCCATTAAGAAATAAAAGAGAGATCTTTCTCTCAAAATGATTTACTATTCCCTGTCATTAAAAAGGAAGACTCTGTAAGGAAAAGTAAAACAAAAAAGACAAGGCAAGACAGAAAATATACTGAAGTAGAAAATCCACTTTAATAAAGGTGTTAAAGACATATGGGATTAATGGTTATGGATTAATTAGCAAAATCCCCAAAATAAGATATGGGTGGCCAGACTGTCAGCTAAAACAATTACTATGTGGATTTTAAAATAAATCATGTCCTCAAATATATTATTTTAAATATTATTTAAATAATATATATGATGGGCATTTTGATCTGCCACAGTGAGAATAACAATAAGTCTCAATAGATATATAAACAATACTCTAAAAATCCATAGGCAATGAAGTCAATACAGTGTCTGACACTATGCCACTATGGAGTACACTGAGTTTGAGGCCTTTTCTTCTAAATCCTTAAGGTATGATTCACTTCTGGGAATGCAGTGAACACCTGGTACAGAACCAGGAAAATTAAAATTGAGTCAGGGTTTCCAATCTAAAAACAGACTGGAAATGAGCAGAATTTCTTCCTGTATTTCTTAATTAATGAAAGCCTCTAAGGGCTAACTTTCCCTCAACTTACTGGATTTGAAAATAATTTAACACTAAAAGATACAACTCTTTCATATAAGAAATGGGAAGCAAGCTTTAAAGAAATGAAATCATTCATTCAAGATATCATCGCTAATTAATGTCATTCTTGACTAATGGTCTAGTCCCATTTCCACAAGGCTTTTAAGAAATGAAAGTTTTTAACTATATAAGATACCAAGATAATCATAAAAAATAATTTAAGCACTGTGTATAATAGTTTGAGACAAAGAAACCTGCCTTTTATTAAGTGCTTTCAAAATACAGAAATGAGAGACCTACTTACTACCTTTTGGAATGTTTATATATTTTTTAAAAATGTTAAAATTTATACTGGAACTCTGAGGTTATATGAAGAAGCCAAAATGGAAGAAACAACATGACCCAGACTAAAAAGCAAAACCTGTTCCCCAAGAAGAATTTAGATAATTCATGTTTGTGCCTGCATATCTGGTGATAATCTAGCTTGGTCTTAATGCTCAATCTTTCATGTCAACATGGTTAAGATTTAATAACTCCATTAATAAATGTTCTATTACAGATAGTGATAAAATCATAAATTTTGCTATGCTTCCAATCTCAATTACTATTCAGAAGATTATTTTATATAGTACAATTGTAGAGCTTCATATACTATAGGAAATTGAAGACACATTTTAAGGAAAAATAAAATGATACAATACCTTAAATTTTATATGTATAATTATTCCAGACAGCAAGCTCCATTATCAAAATAGCAACTACTGTCAATGTATACACTCGCAGACAAAAAGTTTCCTTCCATTAGTCAAATCAATAATGCAAATAGAAAAGAATCTACAAATGATACTTATAAAAATGCTTTAATATTCTTTAGGGATGTATAATATAAAAAAGGAGAATCAAGCGAGAGAGGATTTAAAAACCAAAACAACTTAATGTGGGAGATTGTGTCAGAAATGAAGGTCAAATTCATTTGGTTGATGTAGTGCTGGGGGGCGGAGAGCTAAACCTGATCACATTGCCAACAAAGGGTTAACATTTCATAATTTACTGAGAAGGACGAAGGGGAGCAAAGAGATCAAGAAAAGAGGGGCAAAAATTAGCTTTCCCACTTAGAGATAAAAGAAAAGATAACGAACATCAGCAAACACCAAAGAATTCAACTACAGAAAATGTTACCAAAAACAGAGATTTGAAAGAGTAAACATTCCCTTGAGGACAACATTGTCTCTATAATGAAGAACATTGTCTCTGTAATGAAGTTACAAAGAAACAGTTTAGACGCACTATAGATAAAGCAAAGAGGTAGAAATATTAGTCCTTCAGATAAAAAGTTCTTATTTTCAGGTACTCTTCCCTCCAGAGGGAGCAGGATTCAAGATAGGATGAATGACTCGAAGCTTCTGCAATTAATTTATAATGAAAAAAATCTGAAGCTATGAAGGAGCAATATCAGAACTTTATCACCTGACTCAGGTGACTAGAGAATTCTTACTCAAATATCTTAATTAGAGATTACAATAGCAGTAAAATGACAGTACTTCAGTATTTATTTTGCTTAATATCCATGTTAGATATGGTGTCCTTCATTTTCTAAACTTTGTCCTGTTGCTGTTCAGCCTAGTCAGGCTCCAAGATAATGCGATTTTGAAGGTATATAGGGAATCCAGCCCTGATGAAATGAAGGTCAAATTCTAGGGCAAGGACTGGGAATTGGGCCTGCGAACCTCACTCTTGCCGCCCCTTTCTTAATTCCTCTACTACACTACCCTTCAGTGCACCCCTAGTCCTCCGAGACTAGGAGGACTTAACAGCGATCTTAGAAGGAGAATACAAAAGACCAAAATTAGAAGAAAAGATAGTAAAATTAACTAACAATCTAGGAAATTGATATTAAAAGAAGATATTTCAAAAGTGTTTTAAACAGGGAAAGAATGTGATTGGAACACTTTCCAATAATTTAAAGCACTTTGCTTGATTTAAAATTTTTAATTTTAATTTTAATGCAGCATATAACTCTGAGTAAGTCCTGACATTAAAAAAAGTCCAACTTCTGACTCTGAAAATCATTAAAATAACAGTATTATACCAAATATACCAAAAATATCTCCATTACATTTTCTTAGGGGAAGAGAGGTTAGGCCCTAATATTGGATATGGTGCACTGCTTTGCTCCACATCCATCCTACCTTCTTTCCTTCTAGTGCCTCTTGTATTAAAGAAACAAGAAAGCTAAATGTGGCATTTCCCAAATTATCCCACAGCTAGGGTTCTAGATATACACTGGGCTCCAACAATTACATATACTTGTAAGAGATCTGGAAGGTGGAAAAAAAGCAGGTTCACTTCTTGCTACTTTGG